TCAGCTCTTCACCTAAATTGCCTAACCATTAGGCACTGGTACAGGCATTTGTACTTTCCCACTTTGAGTTTCTCCGAAATACCAGGTAAATAGAAGACAATAAGGTAAACATTAAGGGTTTTGTTTTCTCTTTTATGATTGAGACTGCTACAGAAACACTAGTTTTTCAAGGACCACCAAGGGATAGCATGCCCATTCAGTCACCCACTCATCACTCACGGAACCCAGTGTCCCTTTCTGCAGCCCCTGACTCTGGAGATGCAGACATTCACAAGATAGGCTTATGGGCCACACAGAGCCTAAGCCAGGCTCAGAAGCTGTCGCACCTTCCATATTTCATAACATGGACTGGTCACAGAACAGGTCTTCTCCCCACATGTATGTGGGCACAAACAGTCTTCATGTCTTCTGACCACAGGTGGGGCAGAGGGGCCAGAATTCTCTCCTACATGGGACATGCTCGTGGCTGGCCCTGAAGCTCCTGCCAGCTGCACATGTAGGAATGCTGCATGTGCATTCTTTCATTCTTTGCCCTCCAAGTGGTTTTTCTAGGAAGGTGACAAATGGCTTAAAAGAGTGAAGCATATATAAGGTAGGATCAAAAATAAGTTCCTGGTTGGCAAGTGTGAGGTCATAAGTTCGATTCCCAGAACCAAACATAACAAAACAAAACGATGGTGAATATTTAAATTTTCAAAAATTTATTACATTAAAAGACACACTGCAATCAGTCCCCCTCGTAATGTTCCCCTGTGCTTTGAACATCCTTGTTCCATGGTTCTTGGCAATGTGTCTTTTACTATAATAAAATTTTTAAGATTTAAACATCAACCATACCTTCCATCATCTCTTGTGCCAGTAGCCCCTCGGCTGGCCACCTTCCAGTCCCCATTGCAGATCTACACACAGAGCAGACACCGCAGCTTTCTGGTGGAAGCCAGGACCTGGCTTGGTCCACACGCCTTTGCTGCTCCACCTGCCACCACGTACACCAGGCTTTGGGGTCTGGGCACCTCTAAGTCTCTGTCCTCCTAAGGACAAACCTCTATCTCTGCCCTTTGTCTTTGCTTTCACTACCGCCCTTTTCTCCCACTTCTGCTTGCCACAAATTCTTTATACATTTTCCTTTTACTTACACACATGATTAAAAACTGGTCAACTATAAACAAGTTATATTACAATAAGTCTCGCCTCCAGAGACTATGACAATTATTAAGAATTTCAACTAGCCTTAATTACAAACAAAATAAAAAGTATAAAAAAGTAGGCATATGCATGTACTGAAGGAGTATAAAGATATTAGAGTAACTAAAGGAGAAGATAAACACATTGCATATCATCTTTTTCATCCACTCTTCTCATCCCATCAGGAATATTATTCAGTTATTTCTTGTCTTAGTATAGTTAGCTGTTATAACAAAATACCTAGGGCTGGATACTTTACTAAGTGCAAAAGTTTATTTGGTTCTTTGGCTGGTACTTATCTAGTCCCACAGGAGCTAGAAATCCAGAGACAAGGAGACAGGGAGAGAGAAAGGGAGAAAGGGAGAAGGGAAGGAGACAGAAAGACAGACAGACAGAGACAGAGATACACAGAGACAGACAGAGACGGAGACAAAGACATAGACACAGAGAATTGACCCATTCATGAGGGTGAGGCCTCCATGACCTAATAATTTTCACCAGGCTCACCTTTCAGTGGTTACACACCTAAACACTGCCACACTGGGGACTAGGTTTCCAGAACATGTACCCTTGGGGGCAAGCCATATTCAGACCGCAGCACTTCTCCTCAGCAATTACCTGCACAGGAGTGTCCATCTTGGTAGAAGCCGTCCCCACAGGCGGCCACGCACTGTCCTTGCTGCATCAGCAGGGGGGGCCGGCAGGACGAGCACTCCAGCGCATTGGTGCAGGCGGAGCACTGCGGCTGGCAGGCTGGCCCCAGACAAGGTCCGAGAAAGAGAAAGGGGACCTCAGATTAGCGCACAGATACCCGCAGGACTCCCCAGCCTCAAGGCTCCAGGGTCCCAGAGAATGAACTAATTTACTGGCCGTCATATACAGAGCGCATAATGCATGTCAGGCCCGGTTCAGGGGCTTTCCAATGGAAACGTCTTTCATCCTCACAGCAGTCTATGAGCCTCATTAATCCCACATGTACAGAGAGGGATGAGCGCAGAGAGCAAAAGGAACAGGACACAGAACATCGGCCTCTGAGCCAGGCATTTGGCTCAGGAGTCTCTGATCTTTTCTTTTATCTAATAACCTCCAATATATTTGTCACTCAACCTTATTGCAAAATTATTCTTTGATCCTTTTCCTTCATACCCTATGGCTGATATATGAATAATTCAGAAAGATTAAAGGTTATAAATCAAGACAGAATATAGGGACAAGAGAATAATTACAAAAATAGTAATGAAAGTAGCTAAACCTTAGTGAGCCCTGCCTATATCCCAGATATCCTTCTAGGTAGTGAGAGGTATTTATGTGCTCAGTCTCTACAGCAATCCTTGGAGGAGAGCACTAGGGTCCCTCCTTTTACATACAAGGATACTGAGGGAACAGAGAGGCTAAATGCTCTCTGGCAGGGATAAAACTATACAGCCCTAAATGAGGAATCAGCCTCACAGATCAGAGATAGGGAAGTAAGACCTGACCCCACCCTGCCACAGTCTCCCAGGTAAGATCGCCATCCCTGATGGTCAAGTACCCTGCATCCTTGTGCCCTGCCTACCCCTAAGAGATAAGCTCTACCAACACCCCTCCGTGTGATTTGCAGAAAGTCAGTTCCTTTCTTTTGCCCATCATAGGATCCCCACAGGCAAAACTGGACAAGTTCTAGTTAAATGATTCCAAAGGTCTATGTCAGACTGTTTTAGTAAATGATGTCAATCGTTTTGATAATATTACAAGTAAGTCTGTAAAAATGAAACAAAAATCCGGCCACCACTACCTAGCAAGCAGCTCTGTACCCCCTGCCTCCCAGGAAGCGCTGGAACACCTGTGGAATGTTAGAAGCAAGAGGTCTGCAGGAACTGAGGCCAAGTGAGCTGTGGGTGACGTTAGTATCTGCCAGCAGTTGTGAGACCTCATGCACTTCCTGCATGCCCGACCACATCCTAGACCTCAGTTGGCAGCACCGATCTCCGTGCAGCCTATGCACCCACTCTCCTATACCACCTCCAGGCTGCCCACCGGTCCATACCTAAACAAAGGCTACCAGCCTGGTAAAATGCCAGGCTGCAGCTGTGTACACACTGTCCATTCTCCAGCAACTTTGTGGGATCCTGGCAGAGGTCACAGTGGCCCGGGGAACGAGAGCAGGTCAAGCAGTCCGGGTGGCAAGGAACTAAAATCAAGGACAAAGAAAGTGATTCAGTGAGGAATTTCCTTCAGAGAAAGAATCTAGTGGCAAGCCACATTACGCGGAATCTGAGGATGCTAAAATCCAACCTCATTAATGCTGCTATCTGCTGGAATGACCTCAGAAACAGGAACGACAACCTGGAAATAACTGATCTCTATAAAATCTAAATTTATAATAGCTTTTAACTTCTTCTGGAGTTGTGACATGCATTAAAAAGTGCAGGCAAAAAAACACAATATTTAAAAAGTTACTACTACCTTTAAAAATATAGTCAGTTTTCTTCTTTTTCTCTAGAACTTTTCATCTCATTCTCAGTAATTAGGATTGTCATTGACCTCAGCAGTAATCCTCAGCAAAGGACTATTTTCAGGTTTTGAATTTGTGGGAGACTTGATTTTAGATATACAGTATGCAATAATTGGCTAAATATTTGTTTTAGAAAGCTCAGAGAGCCACTTTGATGAAAGTAACATAATTAAACCATAAAGTTGTTTTGCTTATCCCTCAGTAAACTCTCCAGTGAAGCCCTGGATTAGCCACGATAAGACAAGCACAGCCCGAATGCCTGTGATGTGAGAAATGGTGGCCCATGGACGGAAACAAATAATTATGAGCTATGAATGGAAAAACACCACCTTCCAAGCGAGACTCTGCATACAGGCAAATTACTGCCCCACCAGAGCAACTTCAATGCTTGCCAACAATTACTAACTGGAACTAATTCAACCCCAGGTGATTTGAAAGCAGAACTGCAGGACAAGTAGATAAAATTTTCTTTTGGGAAAAAATTAACGAGTCTTTAAACTTTAAAAACCCATTTGAGAACTCCAAAAGGAACCATCTGCTTTAACAACTCACCTTAAAAGATGGGGGGGGGGGGGGGGAGGGGGAGAGAGAGAGAGAGAGAGAGAGAGAGAGAGAGAGAATGTCCAAGTCACATTTGTGAAGTTATTCTTTTGTTTGCACAATAAAAGACAGATTTACCTTCACAGGTTTTCAAACACTACATTATATGAACTTCACAATAATTTTGCAAGATAGGTAAGGCATACTTTATCAACTAAAAATTAAGATTTTGAGTTCAACGATTTACCACAGGTCACATAATCAGTTGAGTTTGGTAATTATGTGGGTGCTATGGTTTGTGTGTATTTGTCCCCCCAAAGCCTCTTGCAGTTATGAAGTGGACTTCTAGAGTTTGTGACTAATTCCTGACTCAGTGCTGGGATTATGGGTGTGAGTGTTGCTGGGATTATGTGTGTGAGTGCTACACCCAGCCTGGGGCACAGCCTGAATGCAATATAAGGGAGACTTGCTCTCCGTAGCCATCACTGCCGCTGCTCTTGTCCCTTTGCTCTTGCTCGCCTGCTCTCTGCCCTTTGTTGTCATCATGGAATGCTGCTCTCTGCATTCAAGCCAGCTGAGTATGGACTGAAGCCTCCACTGACTGTGAGCTAACTAAACCTTTCCTTCCTTCATTTTGGGTGTTGGGTATTTTGTCCCTGCAAGGAGAGAAGAGTAACTGAGATAGTGGGTGTTATGGTTTGTGTTTAGTTGTCCCCCCAAAGCCTCATGTAAGTTTTGGGGCAGACAGGGCTGTAGGATCAACAAGTGGCTTGAGGAGTGGGGCCAGAGGACCAGGGCAGGGCCCAAGGGGCAGGGCCAGAGAGGTGCAAACCTTCAAACTGGCTAGCCTGTGCTTTCTCAGAGATGTAGAGAGGGTCATCCTGGACATGGCAGCGCCCCAGCCTCTCCTCCACTGTCTTGAAACCTTCAGTAACTGTGAGCTAAATAAACCTTTCTTTTCCCTCATTTTGAGTGTCAGGTATTTGTCTCAGCAAAGAGAGAAGAGTAAGGAATTATTTGTTAGAAAAATTAAGATGCAAAATCCCTACAATTGGGGGACAAAATAAAGAGGGGCAAGAGAATTTCACTGAAATTTTGGCCCATAGAGCCATCCCATGGGGCACGGACTTACCTGAAGTGCAATCTGGGCAGCACTGTCCCTTCACCGCCAGAGCCAGGGTGGCCACTGGACACGGCGGGCAAGCGCGCTCATAGCAGGTGACCTGAGCCCCCTGGCACTCGCACACCTGACAAGGGCCATCTTCCCACTTCTCTCCCTCCTGCATGAGACAGAAGAAGTGATGCTATCAGGGCGTGGAGAGGCAGAGGACAGTCCATGGGGAACAGCTTGTAATTTCCAGGAGTACAAAGCCAAGGCCCCTCCTCAACACCTTACCCAACCCAACTCTGAAATGGAACCAAGTCTTCAATTTAAAACGGCAAGACATCTAGCTCTTTGCATCAGCAGAATGATTTCAACTGCAAAAAGTACCCTAGGGCTGCAAGAAAATATAAGTATTTAACATGTATTTCTCAACATATTTCTGTCTTACACACACAAACACCAGGTGGATCACAATGTACCTAGTGATTAGCAGGTACATTAAATACAGTCTCTATAATAACAGTGGGAAGCTTGGTTAAAACCCTGTATTTCCTTAAAGTTAGTACAGGAAGAGTAACAGGTAAGGCATTGTATTCTTAAAATTAAAGCTTTTTGCAGGACCACTGTTGTGGAGTGTTTATGTGCTACGAGCTTTCTCATTCTAAAATACTTCTTCCAGCTAAGCAATTATAGTAATAAATATGACAGAGATTTCAAAGTGATTTTCTAAGTGCAATTCCTGTGTGCTCACAGCTCTACTTACTCTGGAGAACTACAAGGGACAAAAGTCCCACCAGAATGGACTGGGGTGGCCAGGGACCAAAACAAGAGAAAATATGAAAGAATGTTTTAAATATATTTGGATGCAATGTTTACTAAGCCAACTGATGCTAACCATCCCAAACAATTAATGTGATAGTACTTAACAAACTAAATGGGAAATGTTAGAAAAGTGACTTTGAAAAAGGGAGAATCCCATTTCTTCCACTTCAAGGAAACTGCCTGGGTTCCTGGCAACTGCTCCTAACACTGGAAAGGACAAGCCTGTTGTGTGAATAAACTGCTGGGGGTGTCCACTTAAGAGCAGCCGCACAAGGCCCCGCTGCAGCCTGCTTAGAGGGACCTGGTACACAGTGCCACTTGGGGAACAAAGACTGTGCATCCCCAAGAAGCCCTTTCTCTGAGCGTGTTATAATCCATGAAATCCCACCGGTGGTCAAAATGTGTTTTCTAGGCCACAGGAAAAGCAGGAGGAGAAAATCATCATGAGACAGGGAAAAGATGGATCTGGCAGCTCATCGCTCATCGTTGCTAGAGAAACGTTATCAGCATCAGTTGGGGAAAAGATAAGCTACAGGAGCAAGGGCTCAAAGGATCAAAGTCCTAAGTTACTAGGATTTTTAATTCTTGACCATAATGCCATTAAATATGACTGTTAAAAATACTAAGGCACTAATTTTCTCTATGGTAGTTCATATAGCTCATTACTTGAAACAACTTTATAATTGTATAGAATTAAAAATCCATACTTACTGGAATATATTTAATTTTGCTCACATTTGAGGATACCTGGGGACAAAGAGAAATGTATTTATTATCCCATGAGAACACTATTACACTGATTTATTTAGTTTTTCATTAGGAGTTATCCATTTCTCCCAAGTAACATACAACTTCAATTATTATGAAGAGACATAAAATATTTCATGTAATACATCAAAAACAAGAAAAGGACATCGACATGATGTGACAGTATTTTTGAGTTTTCATTCTCATCTTGTACTTGAGCATTTGACTTAAAATCTCCCTAAGATAAAGGTCTTCATGGTCAAGGAGCTGAAATTTTCAAGGACAAATTCTTGATTTTTGCAGCACCAGAGAATTACTAAAGTTTGTACTCTTTGACACCAACTTGGTTTTCTTTATTTCAAGTGGATTTAATGTGACTTCAAACATGGGTATGAAAATTGGTAGTAATACAAAAAAAAAAAAAAAAAGAAAGAAAATTGGTAGCAATCAAAATACAAATCCAACAGATAATGAGGCAACATTTAAGCTAAGTAAAATGGGGATAAGTAAATTAGGGGAAATACTAGGAAATGAGTAATAAGGCAATAATAATAATAATAATAATAATAGTATTTTTAGCTTTCTTTTAACATATGGGGCACCATTTTAGGTGCTTTACACATATTTCCACAGCCATCTGAGTTAAGTGCTAGTGCTGTCCAAATTTATAGTGAGGATCAAGAAACTTATCAGACATCAAGGCCAATAATCTGCATTAGTGCCGGGATTTTCTTAGAGTCTGTGCTGCTAACCTTACCCGATCTCACCACCCGCCTGGGACACTCAGCAACACTGGCTGGTTGACAGGTGTGATTTACACAAATGGATTCCCCAGCTGAAGCACTCAACCCCTAATTCCTTTCACCCTATTTGCACTGATCAATGAAACAGTTGTATTTATGATCAACTGGCATATTTTTAAGAAACGATGAATCTATCACCATTCCCCATGTGATCATGTGAAAAATATGGCCTGCAGAAACAGGGCACATTTGAAGAGATTAAGATAAAAATAGTTTTTTCTTTGGTATCCTACCATAACCAAATGCAGAAGACATGGTGAAAAACAGAAATTCAACAACTAGAGCTGCACTGCATGTCCAATTCATCAAAATCCTGCTGGATATATCTGGAAAATAGATTGATCCCTTTCTACCACCTTCACCATGTACACCCTTGACCAGGCCACACAACTCCCTTCATCCCAACTATCATAGTTTCCTGTGCGACTACATGCCCTCCTCTTGGCCCCGTGCAAGCACCAGAAGGATCACTTCAAAGTAAGCACATCACACTTCTCAGCCTCGAGCCCCTAAGCAGCTGCCATTTGCTTCAGGGCAAAATAGGGTGGCTTGAAAGCTACTCACTAGGCCCAACTGGTCAGGCTCACCTCAACCACTGTTCCTTTGGTAATAACACCCAAAGTTGTATACAGTGGTGATGAAGGATTCTTTTTCATACCATGTATTAGCAGGCAAAAGGTGGCTTTCAGTTTTGGCTGTGTTATGTGGGCCTTCTTAAAACGTAAGCCCACTGGCCTGATGAATCTTTCATATTTAGGTGGTCTTTGAGAGATGTTTCATACAATAACTTCTTATACTTATTGAAGACTACAGAATAATCAGGAAAACTGTAACTTGAATACAGCTGAACAACTCCATGACTACATTCATCAAGAAAACTATTAAATTGTAACAATATTAAAATGGCCCAGGTTAAAAAAATACATATATACTCACTAGCCCTCATCTCTAAGTGCTGCTTCTAGCTCATTCACTTGGATCCAGCCATAGTCCCTCTCTTGCTATTTTCTTGAACATGCCAAGTATAGTTTTGGTGCCTTTTTATGGCTGAGCCCTCCTTCTTGTAATGCCCCGGCTCTTCCCCAGACAGCCATGTAGCTCACTTCTTCCCTTCCATCAGACTTTGCTCAGATTTCTCTGTCTGAGAAGACTTCCCCTTATATGAAAGAGAACTGTCCCCCACTTAAGCCGAGTTATTTAAGCTGTTTTATTTTTTCAGGAAGTAGTTACTGGACCTGTGGGGATGTGTGTGTGTGTGTGTGTGTGTGTGTGTGTGTGTGTGTGTGTGTACACCTGTGCATGTGTTATCTGTGCCCCCACTAATAGTATCACTCCACCTGAGAGAAGTCACTCTCACAATCGCTTCTGTTTACTTCTACATCCTCAGGGTCTGCTGAGTAGCAGTTGTACACACGTTAATATTTGTTGAACAAATGATTGAACAAAAGAAATTAGAAAGTAATAAGGTCCCATCACTGTTAACTTTGAATTATTGTTTAATAGTCTTTATTAGCCTGATACTCACAACTTCTGCCTTTCCCTCAGAAACACAATAACTGTTCCTTGGAATGCATTCAGGACAGCATTTTCCATCTAAGTGAATTAATTCTTCACCCTGTAGAAAGAAGAGTAGCAGTACACACATCAAATTAACATGTCCAGGGACCAGTGCTGAACTGTGAAGAACTGGGCTCCCTGACTAGGAGAGAAACCCTCGCGCACCGCTCGCTCTACCTACTACTTAGCTTGTGTCCCATGCTGCTCCCTGTGCAGAGCCCCATAATTCTGCATATCCTGCCAAATGTGGTTTCTTTTCGGTTCCAACGATCTGTATGCTCTGATAGCTCCATAACTGCCCAACTATGGCCAGCAGCTCACATGAATCAGAAGGATAGCCAAGGTTAATGTTACCATGTTGGAAACATGGTTTTCAGGAAACAATCACACTCTCTTGAATATACATGGCTGGACCTTGTGACTTTGGTTTCATCAACAAGTGTGCAACTCAAATCAACATTTTTCCTTACATACAAAAATTAAATGCATCCCTTTGTGCATAGATGTAGGCATAAAGTCAAAAGTAGTACCCTACTTTTTATTCAGTATTCTCATACTCATGTCAGCCAGATCATACCTATTAAAACACACACACACACACACACACACACACACACACACACACACAACCACACTTAGAGGCTGGATATTTAACCTATAAAGTCTTACTAATTTAATGTCTTATACAATTATTTCAAAATTATTTTTACAAAACAGTAATGCTTGCTGTTAAACATATTAAAGTAATTCTGAATTCTATTGCTTAGAAAATGTAACTCTACTGCAGTCTTACCTTCCAGGGAATCTACTGTTAAAAACAGAAACTTTGTAATTTTTTTATTGGTGTGCACTAATGTCTAATATTTACAGGCTAAAGCAATTCTTTAAAGCACTTTCCATTTTCCAGTGATGCTTCTACTTTCTAAGCAATCATGTTTCTTTAAATATTTAAGAGCTGATTTGAAGTCCATGATGTTTAAAAGTACAGAAGCCATATTAAATGAAAACTGGATCATGTAAAATATCAGCAGAGTAAGTACAGTGACATTTTATATTTGAAAATACTGCACCAAAGAGAAATATGGTATCAAATCATTGGCTGGTTTTTGGTCGTAGTATTAGGGATGGATTCCACTTTTCTTGAGTTTTCAAATTTTTCCAAATGAATACACATTACTGTAATGATGGAAAATATAAACTAAAATAAACACAGAAATGCAGGAATTATTATAACTTTTTATAGTGCCTATAAAGTCATTTCAAAAGGAAGGGAGTTGTATTGGTTGTCTATACAACTTTCTATCAAAATTTCATGCCAATCAGAGGCTGACGGAGAGCAGAGGATGCTACAGGGATCATACATATTTACATATAAATTGTTTTGCAGTAATATAAAGAATCAGCTGGTAGTGAAGGCATCCCTCAGAAACAGATTGAAATTTTCTTTCAAAGCATCTAAAGGGGTTTATATGCATGTAATCTAAGTTGTTTAAATCAATATTTGGAAACAAGACAGAGTATGTGTACTTCTATTAAAAACAAAACACATGAGAGATTCTTAAGTGTTTGCTGCAGCACACACAAACAAGAGGTGCTCTGAGCCTCCACACACCACTGAGCCCTTTTCTGAAGAGCAAGACTCCATTCTGGTGAGGCAGGAAGTTGTAAATAGATCTGCTACTTATAGAAGAAGACTAGATGCCCCAAACCACATAAGTTTTCTGAGGTGGCGAGGTTGCTCCAATTAGCACTTGGCTTTTGCCTTAAAGAAAACTATTTCTGAAACAACACTCGTTCTTTTAAAGGAAGTTCTCCATAAGCCAAATCAAATCTGCTCCTCCTCCACTAAGTCATAGCTATATCCATCAGACTGAGACAGGAGATTAGGGCATGGCAAAGCTGGCTGAGTAACTAGGTATGACCCGTTAATTACAAGACACTTGAACACATCCACGGAACAGTTTCCAAAATCCTGTGCATGCACTTCTAGCAAGAACTTGAGCAAGTTTCCGATAGGATCCCCTAGACCTCATCTGAGCCCAAGGTCCGGGATCCCAGCACCACCTCTCAGGACCCTTAAGTAGAAGTTCTCAAGGGTTTCTTTGAGATTTGCACAACAAAAAAGGACAAAGACACCACAAACAGCTTCCTGTGGTGGCTCTCCTTAAGATAACCCATCCTGTGTCCTCCATGGTGTAGTTTTGTCTTCCTTTTTTCTTCTTTTACACTGCCCAAGCTCACTCTGCATAGTAAGTTTCTCCCTCACTCTTCACTTCTCTTTTTCATACACCAAAGGATCTTCCCTCCTCCACTGAGGAAGGGAAGGCTCCTCACATTTCTGTATGCCTACTTTCTTCTATGAGTTTTGCTACAAGTCTCATTCCCACCACCATACCGTATGTCAGATGTGAACACTCGATTCCTTAAAAAAGAAAGTAATTTGACTTTATTTGAAATTGTTCAAAGAAATTCTAAAGTATCAAAAGTGGAATCCACCACATGGTGCTATCCTACCATTGATTTACTATACTTCAATATCCAGGGATCTGACTAATTATGTCAAAGACAAGGATCATGCCATTTCCTACTTGTCTTTGTTGACAAAGACAAGTCTAAGCCTGATTTCAGTGCTATTCAGGACACCACTGTGGATAACCAGTGTGACAATGAAGTTGACAGTGACCCATGAATTGCCTTCTCCAGAAGTTTGCTCTGCCTTTTTGCACATGTGCCTACACTAATACTTACTGTGCATTTGGTCGCCAAGGGTGGAAGTCAGAGGACCTTGACATTTTAGAGAAAGGAAGATGGGTAGAATTGAATAAAAACACCAACAGTGCACTCTCACTGCCCCTTGGCAGGCATCATTCCCTTGGGAAGCTTCTAATGCATTTAAATCAAATTTCCTTGGTACCACTGTGTATTTATTTATACACGTGACCTCTTCCAAAGCCTGGGAATTCTTACTCATCTTTTTATCACCAGCAATACAAGCTGATTAGAAGTCAAGAAGTTAGAATACTCAGGCTTTGCTTGAAGAAGGGGATGGTAGGGAGACACTGGGGATTGACCTCCAACCCCTCACATGCTAGACAAGCACCACAGCCAGCTTCAACAAGCCCATTCACCAGAGCTATTACAGAAATGTGATACATCTAGAAGGCAATGGAATAGCTTTTGTAAGTTTCAATTTTGATTAAAATTTCACTTCAAGTAGCTTTTCCAGTTGAGAACCTACTAACTAGAAGAAAAAGAAAAAAAATGAAAAAAAAATTAAAGACAATATGGAGGCAATCAGGAAGAAAGCAATTTAGTTGATTAAAGATCTGGAGAAACAGGCTACAGGCCTTAGAATTCCTCAACCCATAAAAAGAAAAGATGGCGCACGGGGCAGGGGGATGTACACAGAGATACAACAGTGTTGGGAATGGTGTCACCAGAGGAGCACGAAGGCGCTCTCCACTCACACAGTCCCCGCACATACTCCCAAAGCACAGAGGACCTGGATGATGCCACCACAGTCAGTTATCATGCTGGAGCAGGCAGACACTTGGCCATGCAGTAACACTAGGGACCACGGGTTAAATCATCTTCTGTGAATGAGATTCTGCTCAGATCTGACTGCAAGTAGGTGGTTGAAGGACACAGTGTACCAGGTCACCCCTCTCCTTTTGCATAAATCATAGTATAGTGGGCAAATGAGAACCCTGGAAAATAAGCCAGCACCCCAGAGCCAAGCCTTGGTCAGCAGCAGGAGGCAGAGGGTCTCCCTAGGATTTTTCTCATGCTTGTCCAACCACTCTGACTTCCATACAATAAAAAAAAGAAATGAAGAGGTGTCTAGGGGTACAAGAGGTAAATTTGTGAAGAAGAAAAGCTAGACCCTCTTTATCTAAATATTTCAGCTCTCCCAAGACCTAGATGTCAGAGGGGCATGAAAAATGGCCCTGGGAATGACCCACACATTTGGAAGGCTGCTCTTCCTCTGATTCTGTGCTCAGAGCTGTGGAGAAATAGGGGAGAAGAACTGGAAAGAAAAATGCCTTTGCCATACCCCACCCTTCAGAACTTCCATGTTTCCTGCCTACCCAAGTTCACAGCCCTGAGGGAAACTGGAGGGGCGGATGGGAGCAGTGGGCAAGGCAGAGACAACTTTAAAAGGAATTTGTTTTGCTAAGAGTCAAAATGGAGTTCAAAGGAAAAAAAAAAAAAAAAGGCAATTTTCCTAAAACATACATCTGCAGTCGAAACAGAGGCTACTTTGTTGGCAGCTTCTAGAAATTCTGCAGGCAGCAGAAGTCAACAGAGGTCAATAAAGTTAATTGTTTATGAGGTCTCCCCAGCTCTCTTGAAAACAAAAATAAAAACCGGTTTCTTTTCTTTCTTGATGCATGGAGCACCCCCAGGCGCTGGCTCCTCTTCCTGCTCCTCATGGCTAGTAGGTCTGCAGCAGAGACCTGGGCCACACACCTGCAGACCCTGTGTGACAGCCAGAGGGAGCTGGGCAGGCTACCAGCACCGAGGTCCAGCGGCACCGACTGACAGACTGATGTGTCCTATCGCACCCTTCCCTTTCTGGTCTCTGGTTCAGGGCTTCCAGAATGACCAGGTGCACAGAGGGCTAAAAGCTCTGGGAGATTGTTCCGAGTTAATCTGAACAAACAATGACATTCACTTGATGTTGCAGATCCTGGAAACGTAAGCAATCAATACTGTTGTCCCCTCCATGGCCAAGGGTAAGAAGCACACACACACAGGCCTGCCTATACTGTTGAAAACAGTCGCTATATTCAGAGTGGAAATGTTGTTGCTCCATACCTGGGCACACTCCACCTTGGCACACTCCACAGGCTGGCAGGTCACATGGCTGTGGTGACACACGCAGAACTCACAGGGTGAGCTCTGCCACATGTCGTGCTGGTACTGCACTATCCCATTCGATGAGCAGCTTCCAGCAGGAGACACACACTCCTCACAGCACTGAGTGGGGCGTTGGACCCTGCTCTGACCCTGAGGAACAGTGGGGAGGACAGTCCTCAAGACACAGTGACAACACTCGACACAAAATGCAGATGTGTACACCCCACCAGGTTCCTGAGCTGAGGGCAGTAAGCTCCTGTGCCCTCGAGCCTCCCACCCAGGAAGCAGACCTTCCCGTCTGTGGAGCATTCTGCACACTACAGAGCGCTCGACTCCCTCCAGGACACAAAGGATTAAGAACTGCTTTTCTCAAATGCCCCCAAATCAAGCTCAGGAAACCAAGTTCCATGCTCAGTACCTTCTGGCACTGCAGGGGAGGACAGGCCTGCTTATGACAACTGGTCTTGCCCCGGTCACAAGTGCACATGGTGCACGAGTCTTGGTTCCACTGCTCCCCATGCTGAGGAAAGAAAGAAAGGCAGGGAAAAAGTGGGACATCAGAGGTCAGGAACATAAAATAGAAACCCAGACACATAGGACACCCAATCTTTATTAAATTCTTTTAATGGACCCACAATGTACTCCTGAGAAATACACCATTTAGGCAGAAATGGTCTCTAAGAAAAAACACCAATAAATTTCCAAGGGAACGTTGGATGAATTGTCCTTTAATATATTGATTTCTGCCTGTGTCAGACACACAGAGGCCTTGAAAGGCTGAAGGGAAGCTGCTGAGGGCTGACTCCTCCATGAACGCTTTAGGTGTTCTTCTTGGCCAGGTGACTTAACGCCCACAGGCACAGCTGTGTTATCTCTGCTTCCCTTGCAGTTAGAGCCACACATGGATTCAAGCCACCCGAGGCTGTCCAGGGGAGGTTTGCTCAAGTGGTGGAGGTCGAAGAACAGACATTCCTCCCACCCCTTTCTTCCACCAGCCTGCAGAAAGGACTAGTGGGGAAGAGCTCGCTGGGGCTAAGGAAGGCACCTAGAGGACTCAGGAGGACATTACCAAGACGTGAACTGAACTTATCAACCCCGAGCCACCCTGTCTCTGAGTTTCTTATTATATAAGGTAATAAATGTTATCTCCGCAGCCATTTTTAGAGGCATGTCTGTCACTTGCCGCCAAAAACATCATAGCGGACACAAATTCTGTCTCTTCCCAAAGAAATCACTCTAGCACAATTCTATCTAATAAGAACACCCTACAAGTTGCACAGAGGCTCTTGTGTCAGACAGTGCACCTCAGCAATAAAAAAACCTTCTCCAGTTAGTTACTTTACATTCAGATTTCAAGTGACCTATCTGGAATGTCAGATTTCCACTCCTAATACTTAGATACAAATTCTGTACTGTACAGAAACCTGCACCCATTTCTGTTTAGTCTTCATTAGCGTGGCTGACAAGCAAGGATGTTTGGGTTTGCTATTTATGTTCTTTACAACAACGTAAGATTCTTGTGGTGCAGCTGGGCCCTCCTAAGCCAGAAGACTTATTCATGCCCTCAGTCTGGTGAGCTCGTCTGCTCTGGGAGCACCGTGGATCTGGAGCAATGTCTAGGCGCTCCAACGGCTCTTTCAGGCTTGCTCCAGCCACCACAGGCGGACTCCTACCTCCCTCTCGCACCCCTCGCTCCTCCCATGTTTCTTCTCAAGACAAGGCAGGGCGTGCGATTCCAAGCAAAGCTGAGAGACAGTATCAGAGCTCAGAGCTCAGTGTAAACTGACAATGACTAGCAATAGCCCCTTTCTCCCTGAAGATGTGTGCACAGGAAGTTCACCGTGGTTTCTGAGCCACGTACTGCTTGCCCGTACATTACTTTATATTTTGTTCTGTTGTTTGTTTTTGAGACAAGGTCTCACTATGTAGTTCAGGCTGGCATGAACTCACAGAGATTCTTCTGCCTCAGCCTCCTAGGTGTTGGGATTATAGGGATGCATCACCTCACCCAGCTTCTTTTATATTTCCCTTCGATTTAATTTTCATAAAGGCATTATGGTAAAGAGTGGGGGGCATTTAAGTACTGAGCGATTATCCCCGGCACAGCTAGATGTCACGGGAAGTGGGGGGGGGGTCTGCGGCTGGAAGGCAGAGGGCGGAGGCATGAGAAGCTGCTGTGCACGCTGTGGGGTACATCCCTGGTACCTGGTATATGTGGCCAGCTGCAGAGCAGGGTGGCGGCGAGCACTGCGGGCAACACTTTCCAGGGACTCGGACAATGGCTTCATCCTAAGGAAGCAACAATCAGAGGAGACAGTCACAGCTCCACACTGGAAAAAAGGCATGCACAGCCAGCTCAGCCATGCACTTGAAGCACCTACACCAGGGATTTCCTCTCAAGTGGCATTTCTGAGTCACCTGGGGCTCTGATGAGCACTAGCACTGCCAAGGGCACTGTGACCTTTAGGAAGTTTGGCCTGTGTCTTAAGTCTTACCCTCTTTTGAGAACAGATAAAAGCACACACAATAAAAATAATAAAAGCACTTGGAAGTGTTCTTAGTGCTTCATGTGGCCCTGCACAGGACATGCTACTATACCCACTTACGAGTGAGGCAGTGAGGACCAGGAAGGTTATGCAACTTATCCAGGTGTGCAGCGAACCTGGTAATGGCAAATGGCCAGGACAGAACTTCAGGGGACAACCCTGTCGGGGGCCCTCCTGTCCTTGTCTCGGACAGGAGCTTTCTTTCCTTCAATAAATATATTCTGCTCATGAAAAAAACAAACAAACAAACAAAAAACTTCAAAGCTCCAACCAAATCAACACTTAAGGACACCCAGACTTTACCAGGGACATCCCTAAACATGAAAGTGAAGGTACCACTTCCTGGATCCACTACTTCATGACTGCTTTGCATATAACACCTTCCTCTTGCCTGAAGCTGCCACCTCTTCACTGCTGCCCAAGGCAGGTTCTGGTCTGTGAGGCTGCAGTAGACTGTACTTTGTCTGACCCTGGCGCTGTCTTTTTCTTTCTCTATTCTCACAAAATCGTCCACCTTTGGCAGCCAGTTCTCATATGGGCGCCTGAGTGTTTTCAAATTAATATTTCACCTAAATGATGCCTGAAGAGTAAAGATTTCTTTAAAAAATTCTACAAGAACACAACAGAGTAAAATTGGTGCACATAACACAATACAAAGGAGACAGACCCCAGATTGGTCCTCTCTCACAAAATTGAAGGGAAGGATGAGTCCACAGAGTTGAGGTGAAAAGGTGTTGCAGTTCCTAAAATTGTTAAACCCCTCTAAATTGTCTTTCAAGAATGTAGGCAATAAGAAAATAATTCTCAAATGCTTAGAGGCTAAGAGAACCTACAAATAATCTCTTTCTTAAAATGAAAAATCCACAAGTGAAACGGAAACCACTCAGGGTAACCAATATTGGAAGGAGAAAACTGAGATATCAAAAAATCTGTGGCAATATCAACAAGTATTCTTTTCAGACTGAACACACCATTTAAGGGACCTTACCAGGGGTTAGGGCCCACATCACAAGGCCTCCTGAATGAAAGCTGGAAGCAGGCAGTATCAGTGAGAATTTACGCTCTCTTTAAGGCAATAACTCCTTATTTGAACATAGGAATTTCTCCTTTTATTATCACCAACTCTTAGACTATGGTTATAACTTTGCAAACACATTTGCCTATCAAGAGACTGAAATGAATGAACAAAAAAAGCAATTTTTTCATTTTTTTTTTTGTGGCCAGCTCAGCCCACCTTGAGGGCAAGGCTGGCATGGTATATAGTGCCAGGGATAGAACCATGGTTCCTGTGTGCTTGCCTAAGTTTGCCTAAGCAGGTGCTTTAGACAGCTGAGCTATCTCGCTGGCCCCTCACAGTGTTCTTGAATGTGGGAAATGTATTATCATTTTCTTTCTGCTTTCCAAACTTTCCTTAATGAACACATTCTTTTTATAATATTTTTTAAAAAAACACCTTATACTAAGGGTCATGAAAATCCTTGAAGTTGGGTTGCAAATTTTTTAGTACTAAGAAATAGAAAATACATTTTACCTGATAAATTTGTGATTTCCTTCCATTTAATGAACTAACGCATATAAAATATGAACAATCACGCTAATGTTAACATGTATTGTTACTGTGATTTTTATTAGGCATTAATGCTGTGTAGCTCCTCATTTGTCGAGGCATGACAGCGTAACGGGTAGGAGTGGGGGCCAGGCGTGGTTCTTGGAGGCTGCGACGTGGAGCCACATGGGCTAGCAGGGTGGGCCCTCCCTAACTGTGCCAACCTGAACAAGCTACACTCTTCTTACCTCAGCGCATCATATAAAATGAGAATGATAATAATAGTTCCTACTTCACAAGGCTGTAATGAGAATCACAAAGCTCTTAAAATTAATGACTGGCACATATTAATCACCTCAAACGCAGCATTGGTGGTAAGGAGGTTGTGCTGATAGTGATGGAGAGACATGTTACATCTGTACAGCACTAATTCTACACAGCACTCTTTATATCATTAGAACATCAAACACTTAATAGTGATATTAAATCAAGAAAAATATTCTAAATGATCTGACAATTGGATTTTAAAAATATGTTAAGGCAAAATCAGGCGTAATGGTACAAGAGTAACTGAGAGCAATCTATGTCCAAGTCTTCAGGGAGCTTGTATCTAATTAGCTCTAAAGCATGGCTCCAAATTTCACCTTTTTTACATTAATTATGTCCATTGATGCAAACTATAAGCTAATATTATACATAAAGCAAAAGCCTCATGCTTGATGCTTTTTGCAAATAAGAAGCAGTGCTTTCAACTACTGTAATACTAGTCCCCTAATACGTAATACGTGGTTGAGTTTTCAGTGATTTAGGTCAGAAGGTGCCCAGTGGATACTCCCTGCATCCCTCCTCTCCACTCCCTTTCGGACTGTCCTCTGATGATCCTTCTTACTCAAGAGCTCTAAACCCCAGTAGGTGCGAAGCAGCGGGGGACGTGGCGGCAAAGCTCATCTGTAATCCCCCAGCCAGGACGAGGCCCAGCGATGAACTGAGAGATCAGACGCGCACACAGCAGTTGGTGTGTGCGGCTAATACAACTGCGTCTTCCCATACATACATTTCCCCTTTATCTGGCATTTAGCATTTTTTGTCTAATTGCCTTTTGTCTGCATTTAAAAATATTGCCCAATTGTCACAATATGCCATGTTATTGATTTTGTTTTATTTGACATAAAGTACTGCTTTGTATCAACTAAATGTTAGCTTCCAGCTTTCCCTTAGATCAAAATGAGTTATTTTTCAACTTGAGGCAAAACTCCTTTCACGGTTATCTGTCAGCTGCCATGGAACATCCATAGGAACCTCAGGAAAAGCAAAAATTTATAAAATACCATGTGTACCACATTTATTTGCAATTGATTTTCCCTTCTGAATTTGTGTGAAGAGACAAACATTTTGAAAATGAGATCAGCTTTAAATGAAGAACAAGATCCAGTAGTATCTCCAGAGAAAATCCTTTGCTATTTTAAATCATTATCCTTTAAGAATTAAACTGTATATAAAAAAAAAAGAATTTAACTGTGTACATCTGCACAGTCAGGTTCCAAGATGCGTGCATGTCTTGACATTCCAACTATACCTGTGCGCTGAAAAACAACAGCAAACCTGATCATATCACCAAATTTTTCAGATGTTTGGCTTGACATTTTTTGAACATCTGTAATTCAAGCTGGAGGCTTCCTTGTGAGCACCCACAGGCTCAGTTTCATTATGTAACAATTAGCTTAAATGAGTGGTAATTAGACCTATCTGTAACTCCTAAAGGGAAAAGAAACATCACAGAAGTGGTCTCTAAAAGTGCAACATAAGAAAAAAGAAAATGACCCTTGCATCTCATTTCTAGTGCTTCCAAGTCTGCCTCACAAAATCTCAGTACACTTCCAGTTCTGGAGTTATCGGCTGATGATAGACTCTGAGACAATGCTCTGAGGGTGTTGCCCTTACCTGGTTACAAAACAGTGGCCGACACTGAGCTGTGAAGCACTGGGTGACCCCATCTCGGCACAGGCACTTGGCACAGCGACTCAGCTGCCAGTCCTCCCCATCCCGATACACGCGGCCTTCATGGGAACAGGGTTCTGGAAGGCCAAGGAATGAGGATAATAAGAGGCCACAACTGCAGATCTCAGCTCTTGCTGCAAGGTATGCAGGGACCGGGGTCTCAGTAAGCACAGGGAGGCCCCCCTGGGGCTTCAGGCTCTATGGTGGCTGCACAGACCTCTCCAAATCCATGCGTTGTAAGTGGAATCCAACAGAGTTTGGAGCCTCAGCTCATACACAGTGCCATCTGCTGTGGCTTTCCCAGGATAGGCTGGCAGTGGTCTGTCCCCAACCTCTGCCGGGTGAACACTGTCACCCTGACCTATACCAGGACCTCTGTGCCAGGAAAGTGACTGGGCCCAGCCCATGTCACAGAGTAAGGCCAGGACACCTGGGGAAGGGGGTCTTGACACCCCTGCAGTAACCCCTGGCCTGAGGAAGCACGATAAATAACAAGTAAAATACATGACAGGCTAAGAGAGACAGACAACAGAAGCAAAGAAAAGACTTTTTAAACAAGGGATCCTGCCTTTTGCCAAATTATGTAGTTGGCAGGCTGATCCCCCATCTTTCAATGCAAAATGCTTCTCTTGTGTCTTTCTTGTGGATGGTCAGTGAGAAATCCTCTTAGGAAAAGAAGGAATCCCACAGACTGGGCCCCACCCCCACACCTCCTGGTGTGCTGCTCCTATAGTTCACTTGCACGGTTATTTGGCCTAAAGCAGCCAGCAGTTGTTTTCTGGGGGGCGATATCTGAAATCCAGAAAGCAAAAGTTCGACCTCATCATTTTCTGAGCATATTTTTTAATCCCTATAACAGTTCACCACAGCAGATGACTGGTAGGAAGGGGATAATGGGATCAGAAAGAAAATAATTTTAAAAGGGAAAGGGCAAGAAGAGCTATAGGTGCCAGGTGCTACTGAATAAAAGAATTATTCTAGCCACCATATGTCAGGAGAACAGAATGCAGAATTGACAGCGATTCCTCATCATAAAGCCTGTATCATTTGGTACAAAATTGGAAGAGGCATATCTTGCTAAAATGGGATTTTAAAGGTGCATGGATCGAGCAAGAATTCCAAGAAGCCTGGAAGGCAGTCCCTGGCCTGCGGATGCCTCAGTGAGTAGCAGCAACCTCTTCAGCGTGAATGCAAAAAGGACAAGTAAGAGCACTCCTTGCTGTGCATGTCTCAGGGGAAGACACCACGTGATCCCCAAGACCAGCCAGCAGACAGCGCTGGCAACGCTGTTGTGAGAACAGACTTCCCTCTGCCAACCATGGGGGGCAGGAGGAACCACTTGGCTTCGTGGAATCTTCTCCTCTCCCCTATCCCTCTCAGGAGCTGCAAATGCAGAAGGCTGCATCTGGCCAGGGCAAAATAAATAAACAAGAGACTCACAGAATCCCACGTTTGGAATGGAGTTTAAAGATCTGCTCCAATCTCACTCTCTGACACACTGCTCCTGCCAAGTGCAATTCTACCTATTGGTTCCAGTAAGGCATGTGGGAGGGTTCTGTGAGCCACAGTGAACAGGAAAGGTGAGCGTTGAAACACTCTTGTCACTTCAAAGGCAAAGAGGGTCCTCCAGCAGCTTGTACTTACTTCCAGGACCCACGCAGACTGGGCAGCAGCTTCCTTCAGGGGTGAATTCCAGCTCCTGTCGTCCACAGGACCGCGGTGGGCATGGCCGGGGGGCACATCTTACTTCCCCATGAGCGCAGGCACATACTTCACACGGGAGAGAGGCCCACTCTGTGCCATGCTGTGTGCCAGGGGAAAGAAAAGACAAAGGCGGTTAATTCCAGAATGCAGGCCTTCTCTGGCCAAAGCTGTTCTCTTCTAAACTAAGGGTAGAGCTCAGGAAGGGTGGGAGGAAGTTCTAAGTTTCAGGGCGGTCCGTAGGGTTTGCAATGCTCCGGGCTGAAGACCAGATGACAAATGGGCTTTTCTTTCACTTTTCCTAAAGTCTTATATTTGAAAGTTTTTTTCAAAAAAAAAAAAAAATACACAGAAAATAAAAATGATGTTAATCATATCATTAAAAATTCTATAGAAAGCGAAGTAAAATACACTTATATATTTATTGCATTCTTTAAATGGTTCTCTCCCTCCAAGGTAGGTCTCACTATGTTTCTTAGGGTGTCCCCAAACTCGTGGGCTCAAATGGTCCTCCTGTCTTAAATTTAATTTCTTGAGTACCTAGGAGGACAGGTGGATGCTGCAGTACACAGTCATCTTCCTCTTCCTTCTTCTCCTTTTCCTCTTCCTCCTCTCCCTCTTCCTCTTTTGAGGGGGTGCTGAAGATTGAACCCATGATCTCACAGCTGCTAAGCATGAGATCGAGTACCCTAGGCTATTCCTCCAGCCCACTAGGGTTTACCACTTCCAATAGCTGTCACTTTTTCTGTCTCCCCCCCCCCCCCGCTCCTAGTGAACACAGCATGGGCAGCCAGAGACCCTGGCTCCATCCTGCTCTCTCACAAACTACAGAGCAAAGCCCCGGCAGTGAGCAAGCCCAGCCACCATGCAGGATGCTCCCAACCCAGCACCGTGTCAGAACCAGTATTTCCTTGGTGGCCTAGCAAAGCCAGATTATGCTCTCCCAAGTATACAAGCATCTCAACGAGCCACTCTCAGAGGCAATGCAGAAAGCAGCGGCATGTAAAGAACTGCGGCCAAGTCAAGTGAGTAGGGAAACAGCTGCCGAAGTACATTTTCGCACTTGCAGAATGGAGCAGTGGTGGCCTCGCCCAAGACATAGGGAAGAATTCATTTAATAAATAATTACCAGTAAGCTTGCTTTCTAGAACATTTTCTTAAATATGGGAACTTGCTTCGTGTGCTTGTGTTAAATCTAGCACAGGATGGGTTTCTGATTCAGTACTAATCATACATGGGTCTTTATTTAAGACCAGACCTTCTAGGAGCCCAGTCACCTAAATGTAACTGGGGGATCACAGCTCTAAGTGAAACAAAACAACACATAAAATAAGCATCCTCTTCTCCTCAAACTCACATAGTTTCTCATTTCTCTCAAACACAAAGGGGCCCGTCCTACCTAAACAACTCAGTCCTCCTCCATGCTGCAGTCTGCTGCCAGCTTGTAAGCACCCCGAAGTCTATATCCTACAATTCACTGTAACAAAAGCAGTCACAAACCTCCAGTGATTTGGGATACCCAGGACAGTAATATGCATGACCACTGAGTCAAAGGAACCAAGGCTTGGTCACCTGCACATTTCCACGTCCCCCCTCAGCTCTTCTTGCCTTGGGGGGTTAGAGTAGGTGATGTAATATTTGTGGGTCTCAGTTTCCTTGTCTCTAAAACTGAAATGGCAGGACAGCATCTGTTTCACTGGACTGTGTATGAGAGAGCCAGCAAGAGGCATGGCATATAGGGAGTGCTTGCTCAAGATACAGCAGGGCTTGCCAGAGACTGCAGAAGCAGGGACATGGGGAACTGTTGGCCAAAGGGCACAGCTTTCAGTGCTGACAGAACCAGTTCAGGGATCCACTGTACAGCATGGTGGCAATGAATGTGTGCTAATTAACCTTGATTGCTAGCTTGCCTTGACAAAAGGCTCCTGGGAGGCACTGACCTCACTCATGGGTTAACCCTTTGACCCTTAAGGGGCTACTACAAAGTGGGATTTAGAGGAAGTGGGTGGAGTCTGGCCCATGGACCTTTCTCACTGGCTGTTCTGTGCTCACTTCCTGGCTGCCTTGAAGTAAGAGGTTTGGTCCACCCACCCCTCTGCCAGGACACTTTTGCCTTGGAGCCAGCAAACATGGACTGAAACATCTTCCAAGTGCCCGGTGTCAGGTAGTTGGTCACGGCAATGGGAAAACTTACAATACAGATGCACTGTTAACTAATTTCACTGCTGTGTCAATGTACATTGTTGATCAAACTATCACAATCAACATCCTGAATGCATTCAATTGTTATTCAATTAATTAGTTTTAAAAAGACAGAAGGGTGCTCAAACCTATTCCAGGAGTCTACTGCAAGAGTTTCTAAGCTTGCTCCCTTTTCATACTTTTGTGGCAAGTGTGAATGGTAGGAGCCGGACATGGATACAAGGGCCAAGTCCTCTCCCATCAATTTTACTCCTGCTACAATCACGTCTAAAATTTAAATTTTGGTACAGCATATAAACGGGCAAGTCTACAAATCACGAGTTAGCAAAAGACAACCACTGACTTTTATGCTTAAGAAGGTCAAATATAAAGCAAAGGAAGCACTTGTAAAAGAAAAATTGATGTGTTCTGATGGGTTAAAACTTTTAAATCTATGTAGGGAGAGTAGAAGCAGGAAAGGCACAGGGAAGTAGAAAGAATTAAGACATGTCAAACACCACACCAAATCCCCACACTGATGCAATCATTATCTACAGCAAACATGTACTAAGAAGAAATTTTAACTTTAAAAATACATTGTAAATAAACTTAAAAGTCAAGTGACAAAGCAATAAAAATTGCAAATTATACTCATTAGAACTCTAATATGTAGAAGCACTTATAAGCAATAAGGAAAAGACAAACACAATGGCATTAAGATTATAGAATGCTCAATTTTATTAATTACATAGAACTTCTGACTACATAAAAATTGAATAACTTTTTGAATACCCAACATGGAAAGAAGTTTCAAGGCCTGGCCTGCCCCACACGAACCCCAGTCCCCCCAGTGTGAGGGCTGCCCAGGCATGCAGACACACTTGGAAAGAGGCCACTCTGTCCCTGAGGTTCCTGCTGGGTCAGTGAGGACTCAGGTCATTTAAGATGGGACTTTAGCAACCACAGGTGGAGGGCTGATAAGACAGCTCAGTGGACTAAGTGCCTGCTTAGGTAAGTACAGGGACTGGAGACTGAAAACAGGAGGATCACTATGAGTCCAAGTTGCGAAGTGAGACCCTGTACCAAATACATTAAAAGAAAGAAACAACCACAGGTGCCATTGCTTCAACACTCAAAATCCTACTACTTTACATTTGATACTTTGAAATTAGTAATGTCATTTTCAAAAAGTTAT